TGTCTGGGCTGCTATCCCCGTATCATCTTCCTTAAGCCATAAGCCATCTTGTGACCGTCTCTGTCACTGTCACCCCCATTGTTTGCTCAGCTCCTCAGAAGCATCACTTCCCTTCCATCCCCACAACTTCACCTCCACTAGAGCATCTTGGGCAGCCTTTGAAGAGCAACCCCTTCCTTCTCATTATAGGACACCAGGCCCCTTGGTAGGTACCATCTAAATGCAAGCATCTGCTTTTCAAATTTGCTCTTTCCACACTTTCTGACCCGGGACCACATTGCCTGGTACTCCACCCTTTTATTACCTCCATGGCAGCTAGCTAGCTCTCTGTCCCCTTCCTCTACCAGTTGGCCCTCATAGGGGACCAACTCCTGCTGTATAAGCTAACAACAAAAGTTCTCTCGGGTTCATAACTATTACCATCGTGTTCACAGTGGCAGGTTGCAAAATCCTCTCCCTTTCCACATTTCCCCTTTAAGTGAAAAAAGCAGCATGTGCTCACAGCAGTGAGTCAGATAATACAGAACACATAACCAAAGTTGAAATATTGGCCCAGCCTGCTTCCCACCCTGGGATCCTACAGCAGCCTGGGCAGCAGTTGGGGTGGGGAGGGACTTGTTTCTGGACTTCCTGGATAATCTGCAGGTTCTCAAAGGTCACCAAGGTCAAAACACAACCTGAGGATCTTTCACCTGAGACCACTCTTAGTCTCAGCTCTCAGAAATCCCTTCAAAAGCACCTGGAAGAATGAAAAGGAGTGATTTTCCTCATCCCTTTATTATCAGAATTAACAAGTCATCAGCCTCCTATTATCATGGCCGCCATTATTAGATTCTATGACCATCAGCTTATACTGGTGACTTGCAACTGCAGATTGAGGACCTCCTGGGTTATCTGGACTTCACTCTGCCTATGTGGCAGGGGAGAGTCCCTGACTGACTCTGTGCCAACCCCCATCCTGAGTCTTGACTAACTCATCAGTTTGACTGACTCAGTAGACAGAGTGTCAAAGAAGCAAATTGAGTTTAGAACAGGAGCGAGGGCATTTTCAGACACCATCTCAACTGGTAGACAGCTGGGGAGGGTTGTCTGTAGCTGTCTGTCTCCTGCAGACATCATCAGGGCCAGGGTTTGCTGTGTACCCAGATAATCCAAGTTAAAATACTACAACAAAAGAATTTGTATGGCAATTCTATTTGTGGGAGGTGGTGTCCTGGCTACCTCCATTACATGGGTTAATAAAGGAAGTCCCCTGGAGATTTAGCTAGTAGTAACCTTTGCATAGTGTATACAAATAAAGTTTCATCTCCAGCAGAATGAACAGAGTTTGTGTGTATATAACATACAATACACACACACACACACACACACACACACACAATTTATGAGACCAACATGTTGCCACTGCACAAAGAGGGTGACTGTGTGGTGTGTGTGTGTGTGTGTGTGTGTGTGTGTGTGTGTGTGTGCGCGCGAGTCACTAATCTGTCCCCACCACATATAGCAAAGTGTCTCTTGGTTAATCCCTATCTGTGTCATATGTATGACTCCCAAGGAAGTGCTTAGAACATCTGCCACCATATTCCATGAATTTGCACAGGCATGATGGCTGCTATTCTGAGGGATTCCACAGCAAAGGGATTACTAGATGCTGCAGGCATTGGCAGATTTCCACTCCGGAAGGCAAACATTTTGGAGAAATTTCTGCATTCAAAATATCAGTGTTTGTCCAAGTTAAATTCAGAAAATCATGAGTCACATTTAATCCTCAAGAACTGAGACAGGAAAACTACACACACATATCCACCCTGTCCCGTTAAAGCTGGACGCCACCACCAATAATCTCAGGGGTGTGGGGTGAGGTTGCAAGGACATGTCTTCCTCCAGTTCAGTGGACAGGACACCAAGGCTCTCGTAGCCTGGAGTGCCTTGTGAATGCCCCCAAGTGTGTTCTTTATTCAGGCATTCTAACAACTCTGATGCTGAGCTCAGTTCATTATGGGCACAGGTATTGAGTGCCTGCTATGTTCCAGGCACTGCATTAGGCCCTGTGGTGCTAAGGCAAACAAAATGAAATATTCCCTACCCTTCCAAAGCTTGTATTCCAGATGGGAGCCAGAAAGACATGGATGGATGGTAATCCAGGGGGTGAAGAAACCTAGGTAGTGGAAGGGGGGGGATTACAGTAGGGCCTTCACTAGCTACTGGATTTCTTCTGCCACACTAGGAGGGCCATACCTTCAGAATAAGTGACAGTTGGTCTAGACACCTGGATGATCCCTGTGTCCTTCCTCACATCATGGGCCCATTCTTACAGTTTCTGGAATGTGTGATGGTGTGCTGGAGACACTTAGCAGCCCATATGAACCACTCAGAGTGTCTCAGACTTTGCCCTCTGTCTTCTCTGGGTAAGATCACCCATTAGGAAGCTCTGCTCTCCTTAACTGGGAGCCTGCCCCCTCTTCAGACCCTGCAGGCAGTCCTTCCATTCCTGACCAGGGAAAGCCAGCTGAATGGCTGCATTCCCTCCACCCTTTATCTTCATTGCCATTTCCAGTGATTGTCCCCAGAACACTCCCTCTCTGACTGTACCACCAGGATGGTCTGTGTATACCCCAACTTGGCAACACTACACCTTAAGCCCCCAGACAGCGTGGCAAATGCTCCCACTGAGCAGGCATATAACCAATGACTAAGGTTTCATTTTCCCATTTCCCATACAGCTCTCCCAGAGCCTGGCACAAGAAATTTAAGCAAAGTCCTTGGGGGCGGGGAGCTAGGCTGTGTGGCTGCAGTAGTTGGGCATTAAGTGTTCCAGGCCCCACTCTGGTACAGACATGTATAGGAAGAAGGGAAGAAAAGCAGCTCAGGGAGTCCTGAGCCATACATGTAGGGAGGGTATGGCATCAAGTGGTAACTGGCTGGAGGTTGCCTTTCTATGATGTTCTCTAAATAGGGGATCCTGAGACCTCCATAACTGGATACTGTTGATGCAAAACAACAAAATAAAAACAAACAAACACCAGCTCTCAAGTCAAAGGAAATAAGAGATGGTTTATACTGGAGCCATTTTGAGTGACCAAGCCCAGAAACACAAACTTAGATTATCCTAAAGTCCATGCCCCAATATGGAAGCAGTTTCATAAGTTTTATAATCTTATCAAGCAAAGAGTCATAAATCAAGGTAAGTTTAAACTATATTTGTGAGTATATGAGAAAGGTGATTACAGCACATGGGAGAAGGTTTTCTATAGGTCTAAGGTGCTCTCTGATGGCAGTCTTAGCCTCTGGATTGGTGGAAGCCAGTAGTCTGCTAAGTTAATAAAAGGTTTTCATCTATTAGTCACGGGATATGGATCTGACACAGAGGCGGACAAGGAAAGGCTGTTCTAGGGGATATAGCTAGCCCAAGACATGGTAATTAGTCTCTGGACTGCAACATTCCAACCTCTCCACAGTCCTGTAGTTAGTTCTAGTCAGTCAGTCTCTGTAGATGGCTCCTTTCTGGTTCTCACTCCCAATACAGCAACTTCTTATGATCACTTACCATGAGAATGTGCAGAGCTCAGAAGGAAGCTCAAGGGCCCAGGTGTGGCCTCAAGGCCCTCTGTAAGCTGAAGGTGGAGAAATCACTGTCCAGGTAGCCCCCTGACAACCAAGCACCCCAAATACCACAACAGCAGTGACAGAAGCCTTCAGATAACCTTGCTTCAGTTACTGGCCAGACAGACCTGTGATCCTGCACACTACGAGACTTAACATCACACATTACACACACACACACACACACACACACACACACACACACACACACACACACAACACACACAACACACATAA